GTGACGCCACTTTCCAACTTAGTTGCGAATCGCGGAACATGGCCTAAACAATATACACCGCCAATTGACAAATCGGCCCCGCCAGCAATTGCGCTTAAATCACAGAAATTTCCTCAATATACATGCTAAATGATCCTTTAGCCTGCTACGCTGTGAGAAGGCGGCATGGCTGAACCGTATGGCTGCTGGCTGAACCGTTGGCGGCTGCGCATAGCCATGACTCACCCGCGATGCTCAACAAGCGTAGTTTCGCAAGCCATGTCTGCGGCATTAAACTTGCTTGCAGCAATCAGCGCGCACCGCAAGCCCAATTGTTCGCGAATTTCCAACTTATAGTTGGGAAAGTGGCCGTCACCTCGCAGGAACACCGGAGTTGTAAAACTGATTAAAACGGTGAGTTGTGGAAAAACTGCGGCGCGCGACTGCCGGCGAGTTCGGACACCATGTTGTATAATTATAGTCAATGGCGGCCGCCTGTGGTGCTGTACGTGCGGCTTGACTTGCTGCCAGTGGCCCGTAGCCACTGCCGATATTTAGTCCTACTCCTAGTCCTACTCCTACTCCTAGGCTTAAATACTGCAGTGTGGCACCCGTATTTATGAATTATTTTTGCCGCAGTTAAATTATGTGTACCAACTACCAAGGCCTCTGATTCAGTGATTGGGTAAAGGGGCTATAATTTGACCGCGGTCACAAATGATTATTTATGTGTAAATGTACCATAAATGCATAATTTCATGCAAACCTGCAAACCATACACTCAGATACACGACGTAAACACTCATAATATAAACACTGCGAAAGCAGCGAAACGCATCTCGGCTCTCGGGTTTTCTAAGCAATATTTTAATAGTAACAATATTAACGAGTATATAGCTAAGAAATTATATAAAATATATGCTATTTTTTACACATCGCAGATTAGTTATCTATCATAGATGATGGAGATAATCGTGGATTGTAGTCATCTTGTACGAGAGGCATAAACTGTCATGGCCGCACCCACGAAGTGACGAGATACATCTATCATCTGTATAACAGTATATGTATGTTCGTTTTGTGCTTAATAACATAAGCAGACGTAAGCCATCTTACTTGCTGATACAGTGATAGGTAATCTAGTTGACATCCATATATCCACTGCGTTTTGTTGTCAAACGTTAAAAGTCACAGGCACTTGGAACGTCTCAATAAAAATAAAAATGTAAACACGAAATGTATATAATAATTAATATAGTACTAGTACTAGTACTAGTACTAGTAGTCTTAATGTTTACCTACCAAAGTCTTAATGTTTCTCTACTCACTCTATTTCGCCTATTATTGCCGATAACTTACTGTAGATGCCGTTCAAATGCTCATCTGCAACACAACTCACAAGTACACCACACGACCACCCTGTGCACAAACAGCATGGTCATGATTCGAATAAGAGAGCAGGTAGGAAAGCCTGATCGCTAAATTCACTCGACGCTCGCTTTATTTGAATCATTTCACACCTTCACAGCACGAATACACATCCAACAGCTTCCACCTTAGTATCTATGTGTACATAAATGTTCACTTGTTCGAATTATAACTCTGCCCTTTGTCCTTACCTACTCCCGCCAGAGATATCTTGTGAAATCCTGCAGGAAATGTTCTCCCCATGAAAATGTAAAGAGGACGAGATGTCTGTTTATACACGAGTAATGGGGCGCATTGCATGCCGGGATGAGCTGCTGCCTGCCTTCGAGTCCGAGCCTCCGTTTCGAGGCCCGCCAAGCCAAGCATAATGCGCGCGGGCATGATGTCACACACACGACTACAGTGATCGATCGAAAGTAGCGCCGTTAGAGATTTTCGGATGATACGTCCTCTTTACTTTTTTACGGAGAGAACATTTCCTGCAGGATTTCACGAGATATCTCTGGCGGGAGTAGGTAAGGACAAAGGACAGAGTTATAATTCGAACAAGTGAACATTTATGTACACATAAATACCAAGATGGATGCTGTTGGATGTGTATTCGTGCTGTGAAGGTGTGAAATGAAGCGAGCGTCGAGCGAATTTAGCGATCAGGCTTAGACCTGCTCTCTTATTCATGTTCTTTGTGCACAGCGCGGGTGTGCGGTGTACTTGTGTGTTGCAGAAGAGCATTTTACAGCAAGTTATCGGCAATAATAGGCAAAATAGAGTAGAGAAACATTAAGACTGGTAGTAAATACATTTCGTGTTTACATTTTTTTATTTTATTGAGACGTTCCAAGTGCCTGTGTTAAAAGTCATAAGTAGTCAGAGCCAGTAATCAGTATTGGCAGTGCCACTGCCAGTGCCAGTGCCGTGGCTATGTCACTTTACTCAAGTCTCAAGTTACGGGCAATACTGCTAGTGCTAAGTAACTTGCTATAAACGTTGCAAAGTAATAATTTTGAGAATCAATCATAATTGAAATTGCATTAATTTTTGTGGGTATATCACTCAGGTCTGCCAGGTTAATAATGTCACAATCAACTTCGAGATAGTGTAGCGTCTAGCGTGACACTACACAGAGGCGTGTTCAACAGAGCGAACGCTCGCAGCACGAACGCAGCGCCACTTGAACAACACACGAGCGCTCGCTTTATCCAAGATGGCGGCCCCCATGGCGGTTGACTCAGCAGATTTTAATTGCGAGATTTTAATGTCTTCGAACAAGTACTGTTAAACGAATTAGCAGACGAAATTGATACGAATTGAATTTAGAAGTGAATGAATGAATGAAAAATGAAATTAAGTTGAAATACCACGCTACCGCGGGTGGTGAAATTGAAGTCAGAAATCTTAGATTTGCGTTCGCCAGATTGCCCGTCGCCATCTTGAAAACAACTCGCGCGCTGCGCGAACAGTCTCGGGAGCAGGGTCGTGCGCGCTCGCCCACGCAGTGTCGTTCAGAAGGCGAGCGTTCGCTCTGTTGAACACGCCTCTGGTGTGTAAGGGGAAAGGTAGGAGAGTAGCCAAGGGAACGAATAACGAAAGGCGAAGAGCAAAAGGCATTGCGAGGGGTGTCCTGCACATAATGCTGCTAGGCACCTCGCGGCGTGACTGGCAGCATGCGGCCGCTCATCTACATCTCCCGCACCTGTGGTCGTGCGAGCGTGTGGCTCGACTTTAGCCATCAACACCCGCGGTAGCGTGCATGCGCTGCAACACCTGGTCGCGGTTCGCGCGTGTTCCACGGTAGCGTTCTCTGCCGTTCTCGCATCCATTATTAATAAAATACGTTTAGTAGTTATATAGTAATATATAGTTAGAATATGCCCTTGAGTATAATATTTGTCGCTACAATAAAATAACATTCAGGTCATCAACAAAACTGTATTCTTTCCCGTAATTTTCAGTTTCGCAAGAGAAGCCTTCGACCGACGGGAGATTCGTCGAGCGTTTCTCGTGACGCACGCGCTCGGCTGCAGTACAACAGAGCGTAAGTTTCAACGCTACCTCCCCCGGTAGCGCCTCCTCGATAATAATCGATCGTGACGTTCGCACGCCCGGCATAACGTCGAACCGTCGCTAACGCTCGTGCCCCTCCGCACGATGCCTCCCTCTACGGAGGACGACATCTTCGAGGTGTTGGACATCACCGACGCGAACAAGGACTGGATCGAGCGATACGTCGGCGACATCACCACCGCTCCCGTGCCGAAGCAACTCGCGGTTAGCGGCGTCGTCGGCGTGGGAACGGGATACGTGTTCGCCAAGGTGAGCAAGGCGGCTGCGGCGGCGATCGGGGGCGGGCTGCTGCTGATGCAGCTGCTGCACTACAAGGGTTACATCACCGTCAACAAGGGGAAGATACGCAAGGAGGTGGACCGGGCGAAGCGGCAGATCGCCGGCACGTTCAACAAGAATTACGATGACCGGTACCTCGAGCAGGGTATCGATTTCATCAAGCGCAACGCGGTGCTGACGGGCGGGTTCGGGGCAGGGTTCCTGATCGGCTTCTCCTTCTAGCTGACGGGAGGGTTCCTGATCGGCTTCTCCTTCTAGCTGACGGGAGGGTTCCTGATCGGCTTCTCCTTCTAGCTGACGGGAGGGTTCCTGATCGGCTTCTCCCTCTAGCTGA